TTGTTATACACACATACATAGTGTTAAAAAACTGGTGCTCCTTTTCCCATATCTTTGCCTAAAAACATCATAATTTCAAAGTTATTATAATTTGGAGAGAAGGGGGTCACATTTTCCATTTCAAGTGAGGTCCCTGTCTTCCTTGGTAGACATCTGTCTTTCAAACCAAGACACACATTCAGGTCTGTCCAGCAGGATATCCTGTCTCAAATGGTGCCTATAAGCAAATGCTGAGGAAGGAGGCAGCACAGAATCCTCCCTCACAACTCACTCTGCTTCAACTGTCAGCTCCCAAGAATAACCCAAGCCTGTCATAATTTGTCCTTTGGTAAAGCTCAGAACATCTCTGAAGTACTTGCTCAGCCTGCTTTATTTTTCTTGTTTAACTTTCTGTAGGTGCAACAGCCTCCAGCATCCCACGGATACAGTGCCTATTCCCAGGATCCTCGCCTCCTCCATCTGCGTTGAAGCCATCTCCTCACAGCCTCATTGGTAACCCAAGCTCGTGGAGTACAGGAAGAGACAGCAAACAATCAGTTCCTATTCAGTGACTTTGTGCCACTTCAGATCCAGTATTTGCTTTAAATCATCTCTCCAGGCAGAAGATTTCCAGCCTGCTCCATTCTTGCAATTGCAGCTCTGCTCTGCTTTTGATTATCAAAAATTTTTTTTGTTACTGTCACCAGCCCGAGGCCCTCCCCACTTCCTACATATCTTCTCCAAACATCACAGAACTGTTGAGGCTGGAAAAGACACCTAAGACCATTAAGTCCAACCATCTACCCACCACCACCACCAAGCTCACCACTAACCCATGTGCTCAGGTGCCACATCCAGCGATGGAGACCCCTCCACCTCTGGCCTGGACAGCCTGTGCCAGGGCCTGCCAACCCTTCTGTGAAGAAATGTCTTGAAGACAAGAGGAATAAAACTGCATGCCATCTGTATCCTGAGCACAGGTGAATCACTATCATTATACTAAATAGCGGCATAATGTTCTCTGTCTTCTAATTTTGTTCTTAATGTCTGACATTATATAAGCTAGTGCTCTGCAACATCATAAACTTCAATATTTTGTTCCTGAGTGGTGATGGCCAGCATAGCTTCTCATCTTGTGGAAAAGCCAGGAAAGTTTCCCCCAGGCTTTACTTCTGTATGTTAACTATTCAGTCAGACATGATGGCTTCCTGTAACTCCTCACATCTGCCCTACAGAACTATGGATTATGTCACCTCCCTTGCTCATCTATTTTTCAAATAATGAATATACTGACCCAGACCTCACTATGTAGTTTAAAACATTGTCACTCATACTGCATCATGTCACCAGCATCACTTCCTATAATCTGGCAGAAATAGCTCCTCATACAAGAGGGAGAATTCAACAGAAAACCTACCAGAAACAACCCAGATATCTTAATCTCCAACCAAATCATTCAGAATTTTACTGTGATTCTAACAGACATTAATGCACAGAACCAATTATGTGCTGGATCTCAGCCACAGCCAAGAAATTAAGATTCAGTTAAAGAGCTGTAAGTGTGTTATACATGTGTTCCAAGAACAAAATATGTACAATTCTGTTTTCCTATTGGTCCTTGAAAACTATGGGAGTTGCAGTCTTCAGTCCTAGAAGGGATTTCTCCCTGTATGAACCACACAATTTATTCCAAGAGGTACTCTGGTGGCCCCATGGTTCTCACCCTTCTCTACACTACACCAGGCACAGACAGCATTTCAAACAATGTTTCCTAGCTTAGAATTCTTACTGACAATCTTGATTAGGAGCAAGAATAACAAAAGGCCTAACAAATAACAATGTTTGGCACATCAGGTCTACAGACTTGAGTATCAGTGGCATTAAACATGGACCAGGTAAAGAATTGCCATTGTGGGCAAGGAGGGCTTACCATTGAGAAGTGTGCCTATTATGGAAGCTGGATAATGGTCCTGTTCTTCCCTTGTCCTCTGCAGAACAACTCCTGACTGCTGTGACCACAGAGCATCCAAGAAATGTTACGAGCATTTTCTGTCACAGCACGAGTATCTCTACCTTTGACCAGAGCTTCTTGACAGCTCACAGGACTCCTTCCTCCTCCAAACATCCCATCCTAACACTTAGCAGTAATTTGGTACTTGTCCAAAGAGATAAATCTTTTGGGTTAAGACAAATATCTAACCTGTATTCCTTTTATTTTACTTCTTGTTATAACTCCACTTTGTGATCTTCATGACAAAAGATCAAGTAGGTCATTAGAAGATGCATCAAATTAGCTCAGAGAAATTAGCCTGGGGAAAAGGAGGCTCAAGGGAGGACCCTGTGGCTCTCCACAACTCCCTGACAGGAGGGTGCAGCCAGGTGGGGTCAGGCTGTGCTCCCAGGGAACAAGGGACAGGAGGAGAGAAATAACTTCAACTTGTTCCAGAGGAGGTTCATGTTGGATATAAGGAGGAAATTCTGCCTGGAAAGGGCTGTCAAGCCCTGACAAGGCTCTGCAATGCATCAGTGGAGTCACAATCCCTGGAAATGCCTGAAAAACATGTGAATGTGGTACTTAGGGACACAGACTTGATGACCTTAAAAGTCTTTTGCAACCTAAACTATTCTGTGATTCTAGGAAATGCTAATGACAGAGTGGGTTGGAGATGTCACAGCACCATGTGTACTGGTCAGTCTTGGCAGTATTCTACTCTCCCAAAGCTTCACAAACTGACAATTATTTCTTCAAGATGTCAAATCTGAAGAAAAAAAATCTACTTCTTTATCAGAGCTCCTGATAAAGGAGCTACATCCAGTGTAGACAAACCTCAAGCTTTCAGAAAGAGAACAAAATATTGATGTATCCTTATAGACCAAAACCAGCTGATTAATTTATTCATCCTTTGCCAAAGCAGAGATATTCCTATGAAACTGATCAAAAACATTCTATGAGGTTCATTGTCTGCTGAAGTGTTCTCAGCACATAGATTAAAAGAGCAAATTAAAGCAACTCCCTAGTTAAGCAAACTCTCAACCAGCCCACTAGTTCAAAACCACAAGTCTGAACAAAAGGTCTGTTTTTTTCCTTGGAAAACATTAGCAATGTATGTCTGCAACAAATCACATGAGGTGTAAAGACAGTGACTCACTTCATTATCTTCAAAGTATGAGAACAAAATATTCTGCTGAGACAAAAGTCCCTGAGAAATGCTAATACCTGCTGCACTTTGCTCTCTGGTGGCAGCAAGGAACAATCAAACAATTCCAGTAAACCTCCACAAAAACAGAACTGCAGAGATTATCAGATTTTAGTCTGGATTTCTGTGTTACAAGAACATGCTCATCTTACAAACTCCAGAATGGCTCCCATTGAGGAACAGGCCTGCAAATTATACCAAAAGTCTCAAAACTAAATATGTGCAGAGCTGAGGAGTAAGCATGCCAACAGTAAAAGTTCTGATAGCCAGAGGAAAGGAACCCCATGGGACAGGATGATAGTTTCTGTGGATAAAGACAAGGGTTAGTTCAATACATTCTAAAGCTGACACTTCTACTACAAGCAATAAAAACCTGGAAAATCTTCGTAACTTGACACTATGCCATTCCAGGAAATTTCTAATTGAATTCACCCAGATCCCTTACCACCCACAAGCCACATCCCTTCCTTCTTGAAGGTGCCTGAGTACTTATGTTGGACAGGTCTGTTTTATCTGCTCTATCAGGCAGCCACAGGTGACAGGAACCAATTTCTCCTAAAATGATCAAAAATCCTGGCTCTAATCCAGGAAATAAACATAGGTGATGAAAGCTCAGAAACACAACCATGATGCCACAAAGCCCCTGCCCAAGGACACAGTGCTGCTGGTGAGGCATTCCTGTCAGGAGTCACAGAGAATTACCTGGAATAACCTAGATCAGAAGCTGAGATTTATTAATGCTGATGCACTATTACTTCCAGAGTTAAACGAGGAGAAATATGCAGCAGTAAAATTCAAACTGCATTAAACTATGGTGTAGCAAAGGAAGTTACAAAATGGGGTTTTCTTTTCATTATCCCATCATCCAAAATCTACATTGGAAGGCCAGGATGAACTGTGAAGGCATGGAGAGCACTGAAGTTAAAGACAACTAACAGTCTTTTCAAATCACACAAATCATAGAGATTTGTGTGATTTGAAAGCCACACAAATCATAGAGAATCTCTATCTTTACTGTCTTGACTGTGTAATTGTCATACAAGAAACACTGAGGGGATGGAGTGTGTCCAGACAGGAGAATGGAGCTGGAGCAGGGTCTGGAGCCCCAGGAGCAGCTGAGGGAGCTAGGAAAGGGACTCAGCCTGGAGAAAAGGAGGCTTGGGGGGCCCTTCTGGCTCTGCACAACTCCCTGACAGGAAGGTGCAGCCAGGGGGTTTGGGCTCTGCTCCCAGGAATAAGGGACAGGACAAGAAGAAACAGCCCCAAGCTGTGCCAAGAAAGGTTTAGGTTGGACATCAGGAAGAATTTCTTCCCTGGAAGAGTGGTGAAGGGTTAGAACAGGCTGTCCAGGGCAGTGGTGGAGACACCAACCCTGGAAGTGGTCAAAAAATGAGTTGACATGGCACTTGGGGATATGGTTTTGTGGGCTTGGGGGATTAGCTTAAAGGCTGGACTTGATAGTTCTGAAGGTCTTTTACAGACTAGGTCTTTTCTATGATTCTATGATAAGCAGATACCATCTGATATCCAGTAATACCATTACTGATTGCTAACTAAAACTGCCCTAGGTGTTAATCCATGTTCCCTTCCTGAATGTTTGCTGTTAGGACAGGCTGGGGAATAAGTTCCTCTGCTGCCAGGCAGGACCACAGCCTGGCCCAATAACCTAGACTAGACAGGGCCAGAAAGGACAATTCACCTGGGCCAGCAGCCACAGATGCTTACAAGTGAATTTTCTCTCTGGTAGAGCTCACTCCACAGATTAATTAGGATTAAACTATACATGACTGAGTGCTTAAAAAAACCCCAAAAAAACAACCAAGAAACCAACAAGTCAAAAAAGTTGTATTTAACTGAGCCAGCTTCCGGGTAGATAATGTAGAGATATACCAGTTTAGCATCACCCTGCAGCAAGGCAGTTTGTAAAGACAGACTAATACCGATCAATCCATGATACAACAGTGAGACCACAACTGATTAGACATGGAACTAAGATAAAGTCACACAAATCAGACAGAAAATGCCAAGCAAATAAACAAATGGCTCTTGAATTCCCGACTAGATGGTAATAAAATACAAACTTTTGGTTACATCTTGCATTGCAACCCAAGACAGTCTTTAAACCTCAACAGCTTTCCATCCTCCCCAGATACAGGATTCTGTCATGTGAAAAGAAATCTGGGTCTACATCATGGTCCTGACTTCAGTTTATTATCAGATTCAGCTCTTCAAATAAATCAAACCTTGAAGTGCAGGTATCTTCTAATGAGCAGAGTAACACCTTCAAAAAACAAAGCAATGTAGAGGTGAAGATCTTGTCATTTTATAAAGAGAAATTATTTAGTCACATTCGCTTTTTCCCCCCTTTTTATGCAGCACTGTTATTAAAAGCTATTTGAAAGGTTTATCTAACAGCTAGGTAAGTAGCAAAGATACAAATATCAAATGCATGAGTTTAACCTATAAAGCAAGGAAAAAATATTCTTTATTGCTCTCAGGCAGATCCTGAGCCATTGTGATGTCACAGGAGAGAGCCTTTCTTCAGCAGCCCAGTGCTCACCTGGTTCGAAGTGCATTGCACCTTTTCCCACACCACATCCTCCAGGCAGTAGCAGCAACACTGACATCCACTGCTGAACTCTGACTGAAACATGAGAGGTCATGTTGGGACACAGCAGACCAATAGTACAGGACAATTAATTACCATATAATTGTCCCATAAAATAGATTACAGTTACCCACATCACAGCTCAGAAAGCTGCAGAGGAAGGATTGGAAGGGCCTGTCAGCATCAACACTGGAATGTGACACCATCTGAAGGCCATGCTGGAGGTGCCTGGGGCCTTTTGGAATCAGTCTGGGCCACAGCTAGGTGTTCACACATGACAATGGCAGCTGATATGCCTCAGTTCCAACTGGGGATGAATTTTCCAAAGGAGCCTCCAGTGCTTTGCAGCATCTCCAAGCTGTTCTTGTGAGGGATTTTTGAGAGACTGTGCTTGGCTTCTGTCACGGAATCTTGCAAAATTTTGCCAGAGGAAAAGGTTCTTCCCCCAGCAGGTGGTCAGGCACAGACCACCAGGCTCCCCAGGGAATGGTCACAGGCCCAAGGCTGCCAGAGCTCAAAGAGTATTTGGACAACAGTCCCCAGGGGGGGGATTGTTGAGGTGTCCTGTGCAGGGCTGGGAGTTGGACTTGATGATCCTTTTGGTCCCTTCCTACTCAGGAGATTCTATGAATCTATGATACTATGAAATAATATATTCAAATGAGGTTTATTTTGTAAGCCATCTAAAGCAGATAAATCAATTAAGGCTTGGTCAGCCTTTGAATACAAATTAATGATGTCAGATGGAGGTGGTGCTGCCCAACTGACTTGAGAACTCTGAAGATTTTAGAACACTTAGTCCAGATATGGAATCCCTCACACACTGAGGCAAGGGCTCTCAGCCTCCAGGAATTCCTTTGGGCATCCCAACCCACAGGAAGAGTCCTCAACTGCAGACCTACTGTTTGAAGGAGGACTGACCCTACTGACAGCCCTGACAGGGCTCCACCATAGCCCAGTCAGATCTGACCTATGGTCAGGTATGGTCATACTCACCCTCTGTGGTGGGCTGCTGCCCAGCACAGCCACTCTGAAATGTGATGGGGTCCAGCCTGCATAGAGCAGTCAGTGATTCATTCCTCAAGCCATGCCACAGCTCAGGCCAATTGCAGGTACCTGCTGGGGGAGCACCTGCACAGATGCTGAGGACATGCATCTCCTGACTGCTCTAACACCTAGCTCATGACTGGATGACTGGAATTTCTGAAGTTAACCTCTTTGAGGGGCACAACTAATGTGGGTTGTGTGAGCAGACATCTTTCAGACACCTCACCTATTCAGAAAAGTGTTCAACACGTAAACACAAAGCATACTGTTGGAAACAGGAAGAAAATATCCCAACCATCAGCAGTACCACTGGAAAGCCACATACATGTAAAACAGCAACCAGCACAGCCACACACCACCCATACACCACTGACTGACACAACATCCTCCTGATGTTGTTCCCCAGGGCTGGGGCAGCTCTGCAGGTGGGGTCTCACCTGAGCACAGGGGCAGAATCCCCCCTCCCCTGCTGCTCACGCTGGGGGCTCAGCCCAGCACAGGGGGGTTCCTGGGGTCAGTGCCCGTGGCCGGGGCAGGTTGAGCCTCTCACCCACCAACAGCCCAAGTCCTTCTCACCGAGGGATGCGTCTGATCCATTCTCTGGGTTTGTGCTTGGAATGCTTGATCTCAAGACTAACAAACCACTCTCCAATAATATTATTAAAGTACACATCAGGCTCTTTAGAACTGTCTACTGCTAGTTCATACTTACCACACGTAGTACCATAGTAAGTAGTACGTTTTATCAAACATTCAAAAGTACCCAAAAAACAGGTGAATTAAAAAAAAAAAAAAAAAAGTGAATTAATCAGGGTGTTTACTGCACATTTTACTACTGCTGAATACCTTCCTGGAAAATGGGGACTGGAAAATGATGATAAATGTAATTAATATTGTCTAATTGACAGTCTGACAAAGTGTTTTTCACACCAACAGTTCATTGGACAGATACAACTATGCTACAAATTCATTTACAACCAGAATAAAACCACACACTTCATAAATTATGAGCTTGGAATAAAGATGACTTCTGACAACCAGGAAAAGCTTCTGGCTTGCTTCCTTATATTTTGCTGGATTTTTGTTAAATCATTTACCTGCTGATAAAACTTAAAGGAGATGATTTCAGAAACTAGGCTAATAGATGGTGGCTGCTGCACAACAAACATTGAGGGGAGAACATATGCAGAGGTCATTGATACATAAAGGAAAAGAAAAAACAAAGAAAGAGTGAGGGAAAAATCAGCTTCAATAACAGCTTATAATAACTGCACATTTAAATTGAATTAAAACCTTTCCACATCTATCCACAAATGATTAAGTGTGGCTGGTTTAACTAGAGCAGCTCAGTGCAGAGAAACCTGAGCCGACGATGTGCTGCTGGCCGCAGTGCTGCTTCAGAGCTCACACGGCCACACCTGGCATTTTCTGCATGGACCTCAGAAAATCCAGAAGTTCTCCTACAAATCACTGGGAATCTAAATGGGAATGATCTTTCTGCAGCACAACTAGAGACAAACATGCTCCAGGTGACATAATTCACCTCACAAGTGAAATGACAGCAGAGGCAGAACAAGAACAGCAGCTACAGGTAACCTCAGGGAAGGTGACTCCCATGGGAGTGAAGCCGCAAGCGAGCCGCAGCTGCTCTCGACAACCTGTACCAGAGCCTCACCACCCTCACAGGGAACAATTTCTTTCCAGTATCCCATCTAACCCTGCCCTCGGGCCATTCCTTCTTGTCCTGGTGCACCAGGCCCTTATCCAAAATCCTTCTCTAGCTCTCTTGGAGCCACTTTAGGCACTGGAGGGGTATCTGAGGTCTCCTCTTCTCTAGGCTGAACATCCCCAGCTGTCACATACTGAACAAGGGCGGGAGATCAGGGCACTCAGCACCAGAAGCCGCAGAGCCCCTATGCCCTGGAGCCAGCAGCCTGTGCAGGGCGGGATGAAGAGCACCCAAAATCCTCCACGACCCAGCCTGCGGCCGCCATTTCACCCCTCAGAGCACGGAGGGGGCGGGGCCTGTCATGACCCCACCTAGGCCCCGCCCCCTCTCGGGTCCCCGGCGCTCCCGGCCGCCATTTCAGAGCCGCGCGGGGCCGGCGGGTTGGGACATCCGGCACCACCGCGGGTAACTGCGCTGCCTCCGGGGCCTCGCAGAGATCATAGAGCGGCCGGAGCCTGCGGGCTGCGGAGCCGGCACTGACCACTGCGAGTGTGTCCGAGGACGGCCGGTCACAGCTGTGAAGCGGGGGAGCGCACCCGAGGTCTGGCCGCTCCTGGAGCCTCCCTGCTGTTCTCTGTGTGGCGTCTGCGCCGTTAGGAAGCTCTGCGTCCATCCGTCCATCTCCCCTTCTGTAACCCGCACTGCCCAGCTGAGGGCACTTGGCTCGTTCAGCTGGAGCAGAGGAGACTGAGGGGAGACTCCTCGGGGGCTGCAGCTCCTCCCGAGGGGAGGCGGAGGGGCAGGGGCTGAGCTCTGCTCTGCTCTGGGACAGGGACAGGAGCCCAGGAAGGGCTGGAGCTGTGCCAGGGCTTGGGATGGATCTCAGGGCAAGGTTCTTCCCCCCGAGGCTGCTGGCACTGCCCAGGCTCCCCAGGGAATGGGCCCGGCCCCAAGGCTGCCAGAGCTCCGGGAGCGTTTGGACAGCGCTCTCAGGGATGCTCAGGGTGGGCTTGCTGGGGGGTCTGGGCAGGGCCAGGGGCTGGGATCAGCAATCCCTATGGGTTCCTTCCAATCCAGGACACTGTGATTTTATGATTCCATCTATTCACAGCCAGATACAAACATTTGTCTTTGTGCTGCTGCTTCCATCTGTCGACTCCCACTGCACGTGTCTCTCCTGTGTCAGAACCACTTTCTCCAAGGGCTTCCTGGGCCACCCTGTTTGCACTGAGCCTTTTTCATTTTTCAAGATATCCCAGGAAATGGCATGACAAACCTGTGGCATTCATGTTGCATCATTTTGAGACGATTTCAGACATGACACCTGGCTTTGTGTTGCTGAAATTCCACACTCTTTTTAAACCTTCAGGCTGATGTTTTCATATTGAACAGAAACACTGTAATAGACCATCAATACATTTAGCAAAAAGGGATAATTCCTGTAAAAGTTGACACACTGTTTCACAGGACAACACCTTTTAATTGCCAGCACATCTTAAGTAAGTGTTTATGGTGATAGATGAAATTATGAGTTTGCAAATATGTTGTCAAATGATAAAGGCATCAACACTTCAGTGTTGTGCTCATGGCCTCAATTTTTGAAGATTTGAGACCCACCTCATGTTCAAGAATGGGATTGTTAATTAAAACCTGGATAATACATGGAAAACATCGATTGTACAGTAAAAGAAAGTTGCCACTGATGTGAATGACAATATTGTGATTTTGGGGCTGGCAGGATGAGCAAATAACAGATGCACATACGTCTTTAATGTTTTATGAGTCCTTGAAGGATATTTCCAAACCTGTCAGGCTTGGAATTTTCATGTGAGGATTCCCCATCTGGCATTGTGAGCTATTGTAGAGAGGAGAAGAAAATGGCAATATTTTTAACATCGCTCTTAATCTAACATCCTCATTGGACCCTTCATGCAGCTGAACACTGGGATCTCTGTCACACTGTGCCTATTGGATATTGCAGAGGTTGCGCTGTCCCTGGCTGTCACATGTGGATGATCAGGACACAGCAAAATGTAACAGGGCCACTTTAAAGGGTTTCTGGGCAGCTAAACCAGAAAACATCAGTGCAACCACGCTGGGAATTTACCAGACAAGGTTTTGCTAGAGGGTACATCAGGATAGGCAAAGAAAATATATTTGTACTTTCGTTGTGTGATTTGCCACGTATTCCAGTAGACACAATATTTCCACACGTGTGCACTGAAATGCCAAAGAACCCAAACTCCTGTCTTGCTGCAATTCCCAACCTTCAGCTGAGATCTCACTCTTCTAGACTTGAGAAAGGAGCTAGAAAAGGAGAAATTTGATTTTCAGGTGTGTCACTCAACTAAGTAAAACTCAAATCATGAGTTGTGTGTTAATGAAAAGGAACATCATGTACTGTAATGCAGAAGTATTCTGATTTTTTTCTCCCCTGAAGTTGAGTACCTTAACGCAGGATTTACAGACCTGAAGCTTAGATGTCACACACTAAGCATGCTGCTTTGTACCAGGGTATTGCAGAGTACAAAAAGACTTCTTTTTCTGCAGAAAAGGGAATTTTACTCTCACAGATTACTCCTGTGCAGTGGAAATAGGTGCAGATACAAATGGATGCCCTTGGCTATGAAAAGTGGAAACGGAAGAGGGAAAACACTTGCACAGCTGGTCCCTTCAGGGCGCTGCACAATTTCCCTCAGCACAGGGAGGTGCTGGCCACCAGCTTCTTTGACAGATTATCATTTGCATCTCATTTACACAGGAAGCATTAATCTTTTAACCAGTCACCAGCATTCCGGTGGGTTGTGCCCGGGGACATTCCCTGTGCCCGGCCTTCGGCTGACAGTGGCCCTCAGACGAGGAGAGGCTCGGCTGCCGCGAGCTCTGCCCGCAGCCATCGGCCCCAGGGCTGCCGTGCTCCATCTTCCACCGAGCCTGGCATAGGGCATCACTCGCGTTTCTTCTCCAAGAGCCCGGAAGGCCAAAGGAGGCACGTTCTCCTCCGGGCTCCTTTCCACAAGAGCAGCCGGACCTGCGGCCGGAGCGCAGCCGCCCTTCCCGAAGCCCCGAACCGTCGCGGGGAGATCTCTGTGGATCCGCGGCCGCCTCCGCGGAGTGGCCCCGGCCCCACTCCCGCCCAGCTCCGCTCCCCTCCCCCTGGCGCGCGGTAGGCTCCGCCCCCGGCCGGAACTTGACGGACGGGCGGAGAAGCCAATAGCTCGCCCGGCACGTGCGCCCGGCAGC